GTATGTGCCTGGATTCAGTACAATGAGCTCCAATTTTCAGATTGCTATTAAAACTATTTGAAGATGTATGGGGAGGGAAAGATTAAAAAAAACTAAAGACTTTTCAAAAAGACATGGAAACCTACTATTATAGAAGCTTACACACACACACACACACACACACACACACACACACACACACACACAGAGAGAGAGAGAGAGAGAGAGAGAGAGAGAGAGAGAGAGAGAGAGAGAGAGAGATTTAAAAATAGAATTACTTTATAATAAGGCAACAATGCTCCTTCTAGAAAACACAGGTTAACCAAAAGGCCAGTGCCTGGAATGGGTTACTTAGGTGGGATTGTTGAGTAAAGTCCCATAGACCTCTACATGTGACAGGCTATTGTTATTGCTCTTGGTTACCATCCAGAGCTTGATGGTAAAAACCTGTTGCTGAATACACTACACACTTGAGTCATAAAACATGGTAAAATGAAACTTCTATGGACCTAGAACCTTCACCCCTTCTGGTTAGCTTTCACAGTGCCAGAAGGTGCTGTACATACTGCCAGAGGAGAAAAATAATCATCAATCATACATAAATCAAGATGTGAACTCTGCAAACTCCAATAATGACTTGCCTAGCAAGACATGCCCACTGGTACAATAGTGGCATAAACATCATGGGAGTAACCAGCAATTTTCCCATTAGATTTAAGTCCTGTTCCACAAAATGAAACCCATAACTGGCACCATTATTGAGCCAAGAACCTGTGGCTAGACAGGTCACAGACCCTAGAGAAGAACCTACTACTATTATTCTGCTAAACAGACTTAGTATTAAAACAATTTCTAATGGTTTATTGTTATTCCCATAGAACAATGCATCTTTCAATCCTCACTTGATAAGCTTCTATTTGCAGTAGATGGTGGTTAACAGACCAGCAATAAGCCAAGGCATGAAGAGTAAGAGCCTGTAGAAAGTTTAGCCATAAATAGTATATATATTTCTACCAGGGCTCAGGAATCATTATGGAAGAGGGTACAGAAAGAATATAAGAGTCAGAGATTGTAGATGACTACAAGGAAACATTATCTTCTGGACACAGTCAACAGCATGCACAAAACCTGTACAAACACAAGCCAGACAAAATTCCAGCATGAAGATGGAAATTGGGCAAACAAATCCACCTAACCTATGGAGCCATTGACAATTGTTAGTTCCTGGGAGAAGAAAAGACAATTTTCTCTAAGAGTGTAGACCCTGGCCGGGCGGTGGTGGCACACGCCTTTAATCCCAGCACTTGGGAGGCAGAGGCAGGCGGATCTTTGTGAGTTCAAGGCCAGCCTGGTCTAGATGAGCGAGATCCAGGAAAGGTGCAAAGCTGCACAGAGAAACCCTGTCTCGAAAAACCTAAAAAAAAAAAAAAAAAGAGTGTAGACCCTGGTAAAGTTGACCATGCTCTAGAATTAGGTCACACATCTAAGAATATTTGGACAGCCCAAATTGTCCTTCAAGAGTTAAACAACAACAAAGGACACAAAGTTGGGTAGTAAGAAGGGGGTGGATGTGGGAAGAGCTGGGGGAAGGAGGGTGAATATGAACAAAACATGTTGTACCAAACTTTCATAGAACTAATAAAAATATTAACACAAGCAAACCTATTTGAAGAAACCTATTTGAAGAACATGCTAAATTCTCTCTCAAACCTTTTAGGATATGAGTCATAGATTTTACAAGAGATTGTGCCTGAGAATTCATCCTACCTAGGGGAAATCAGACTCAAGAGATCAAAGAAGGCAGAGTCCAACTCTGAAGTACTTGCGTAGTGTCATACCTCAGTTAACTAACAGAGACTACTTAGGCTATATGAATTAATAATTTGTTCACATAAAAAGAAAAGAGGTGGAGACATGGCTCAAAGGCTAAGAGGACACAAAATTGGTCCCTAACATCCACATGGCTACTAACAATTAACTGTAGCTTCTTCTGCAAAGAGACCCTGGTGGTGAGCACCCACTATCTAATCCAAGGTAATGTGCGACCCAATCACAGTAGGTAGGCTTACTACCTGGGGAAGTTTCCTGGGGAAATTCCATATAAGTGGTTGCTCGTGTGCAATTAAGCAGATGGTGTTCCTGAAACCATCTCTGGAGTGGTTTATTCCCATGCCCTTTACTGACCTTCAGCCATTGCTGTCTTGTCAGGGGACTCCCCAGGTAACTAGGGCAGAGCATGAGTTTGTGTCATCTTATTTTAGAAGTGGCTTGAAGGTGATTTCAGTATGTGTGAAAGTTGTGTTTTATTAGGTGAAAGAATTTCCAAAATCTGGTATTAGGAAAGAGCCTTGTTTGTTGCATAGCCAAAATATAATGAGGAGTTTGTGGTAATTTGTCTATTCAAAACTTCATTTCTCTACTTTAGACAACACGTCAATACCTCCATTTGCTTTTTGGAATCTCTTATCTGACTCACATGATGTGTATGAAACAATCTTTTTTTTTTTTTTCAGATGTGGTCACTTCCTTCAGTGACAAGCATGTGACTTATCTCTGAAGATCTGTTAAACTATCATTCTAAACTATGAAGAGATAAGTGAGGGGCTCTTGGCAGCCATCTTGTGAACATGAAACAGGTCTGAGTAAACAAAAGGAGAATGTGAAACATTCAGACTGCCACTAATAGAAAAAGTCAGATCTTATGCATAAATTGTTCATAAGTATACTGCCACATACGACATTATATATTTCATTGTATCTTATCTGAATCAGTTCATTCTAAAAGTCCTTGGGATTGTAGGATTCAAGACAGCTTACTACTTCACAGTTAGCAAGAAAAGATGATATGGGTCCACTAACAAGGCACAGTCTCATCTAAATTAAGAACCCAGAGCAATGCTCACTCACCTTTTCTATACTGTTTTGGTTAGAAGAAAGTCATAGGTTCTATCTACACTCAAGAGCATACAATTATAGAAAAGCATGAATACAAGTGGGTAAGAATCAAAGAAGCCATCTTGTCCACCATTTCTAAGAAACGTTAAATACTCTAAAATTTTCAGAGGGAAAAGTTAATTCTAAGAAGTAACTCTTTGATGGAAATTAAGCTTCATAGAACTATTCCATCTAGAAATCAAAGGAACAGTGCCTTTAAAGTATTGGAAAACTGTATCCTTTCCTACAAAAATGACTTTGTCAATCTGGAAATTAAGAGAAGGAATCTGCCAATTGCTAAGTATTTCAATCCTTTAAAAATGCACTGAGGGATTAAAATTATAAAAACAACTGCAGAGTAATTAACCAGATCCATTGTGGTCATAATAATATGGACTTGGCCCAGGACTCTGTTAATCATGTTGGCTATGTTTGCCTCAATGTTAATTAGGAAATGTAACCATGTTTCTGCTCCCATTCCCAGAACAGTGTTGGTTTAAGGTCTATATTGCACAGTGCATGAAATCCAGACATACTCTTTCCCTAGTGGAAATTTACTCTTTAGCTACAAGTCTGTCTTTGAAAAGAAACTGCCCTTTATCATACATACTTTTAGTGATGCTAAATAATTCCTCTAGAAGACCTGATATTCGATTCATGAACTTTGCTTCTGAGAACTGCCTCATAACTCTATTTGGAAGGTAAATAATAATTTGCATTGGAGAAGACCACTATAGAATTTTTGCCCAGCAGAAAAGCATTTTCTTGATTATAGGAGACAAGCAAGACCTCTACTGCCTTCCCATCTAACTTGTGCCTAGGAACTCTATGTTCCCTTAGCCATTGATACATAAACCTGTATGCATTTCATTGCTGTTGTTGCTCCTTCCTACTTGATTTCCATTACCTTGATTCTAATCTCTGAGAGGTGAGAACCAACACTTGGCTTTCTTCTTTGTGTGTATGATTACATCTTTGTGGTAAAATGGCCAGAATGGCTTATAGAGGAGAGCAAATTCTTACTGGCTCGATGGAGATAGCTAAAGTACTCTAACCAGAACTGGCTACAGCTGAGTTGACTTCAGTCTTGCTATAGAGATCTGGCAGGAAACAAAAAGTGTCTCTGTGGTATTAATATACAATACTGAAGTCTAGAAACACACCAGAAAGGCATGCTAGGTGAAGACACTCTAAAGAGCCACTACACTATATGGTGCTTATAATTAACAATATGGTATTGTGTCCTGAAAAATTTGAATGGGAGTAGATCTTACATTTTCCTGCAAGTAAAGAGACAGAAACACATAGGAAGGATACAAGGATGCTCTGGAAGGCCTTAGATGCCTCTGTTATGGTGATTGTGGTGAGGGACCCACAGAGATTTGCATGTGTTCAAGCTCATCACATGATGCACCTTCACTACTCACAGTTCTTTGCTTAGCAAATATACCTCACTAGAACTATAAAAATTTGTCCAAGCAATGAAATGCAAATAACAAGAATATTTAGGTAATATCAGTTAGATATCTCTTATTATAATGAAAAAGAACTATATTTTAAAAGAAAAAACTATTTTAAAGGAAACAATTCTGTTGTGGCTATAACATAATTTCCCAAATAGACTTTAAGATTTTAAATATTTTTCAGTGAAATGGAATCCATATATAATTACAAAATGAAAATGCTAGTAATATAATTATTGGCAAAAATTCTTCACCTGAAATCTTACTCATTTATTAGATTTTAAAGAATAAATAAAAGGACCTGGGCTACAGAGATCGCTCAGCACTTAATAGCTCTTGAAGCCCTTGCAGAGGTCACGGTTTCCATCCAAGCACCCACATCAGACCACTCACAAGCTATAACTCCAGTTCGAAGGGATCTGACTCCCTCTTTAGGTGTCCACAGGCACTGCACATACATAGTATACATACAGACAGGCAAGCACACACATATACACAGAAATAAAAATAAGCAAAAGTACCTTCTTAAGTTCTTCACTACCATAATTATATTTATTTGTAAGAAATGCTTCATAGAAAACCAAGAATTTTTATTTGAAAAGTATTTTATTTATTTCACTCTAGTTCACAATCATATAACATATTTTTTTATCCAAGGTGCAATAAGGATATTACAGTATCATTTTGAAATTGATTTGGAAAAATAGACTTGTCCTACCAAAATACATGGTATGTGAGACAAATTACCAACATCACTATAAGAAAACTAAACATTGTCCAGTGCTTTATGTCATAGAACTCATCTGTGAAGACATGCTGCTATATTTTTCACAGATGAGTACACTGATGCTTAGAGAAATCAAGGCTCTCACACATGCAACCAACAATGAGCAGTATAGACTGAATTTGATGGAGAGGTTGAGTTCCTTACACAACTATGCAGTTGGCAGCAAGCAGGCAATTTGATGGGGACACTGAGTCTCTCACACATAGCCAAGCAGCTGGTAACAAGCAAATCCTGATTATAATGGAGATTTTGAGTCCTATACATGTAAACCATGCAGCTATCAACGAGGGACAAAGCCTGGATTTGCAATTTGTATAGGCTCTGAATTTCCCAGGATAAGGTTGCGTTTTACCACTGTTATCTTTTGACAGTTTGGTTTCTTAATTGATCTCTTTCCTTTAGAATTTTACATGAAGCATCAATGAGCCATCAAGCACACTAAAAACACATTTCTCCAAAATGCCATGTGCTTTTTGGTTAGCTCAAGCTAAGCCCTGAGTTCAATCCTTAGTACTTGTGAAAACCCTCTGATAAATATCCAAGTTCATTATTAACAATGTGTTTCTCTAAACAGGACACAATCCTGCCAAACTGTGCCACTGTGTACCAAAGATCTCCTTTTCTCTAATAACCATAACACAATTCTCATTTCCTTCTGAACCTCTAAAAGTAACCAGATTTTTGCAGTATACACATGTTTTAAGGTGATAGAAAGTCGTCTCTACCATGGTGGTCATTTCCTTCTGCTTCCTCCCACATAGAATTGATAGTATTCTTACTGAAATGTATTTTTACTAGGAGGTTTTTTTTCAAGCAACCTAAGCTTTTCCTAACATTCTCCTCACAATCTTCCCTATCTCTTCACTGGAATTAATCTGGCCAACATCACATAAGTTTGTTATGACAATCTCTCACCTATGACTACATATTTCCATATGAGTTTTTTTTATTGTAGATATAACAAATTACCACTAATTTTTTGGCTTAATGAATGCATAGTTTACTATCCTGTAGGACATAAATCCAACATAGATTTCACTGAGCTAAATCCAAGTAATTTATGAGGGTATTTTCCTTTCTGGAAGCCCTAGGAAACATACTTCCTTACTGTGATCATTTGAATGAGAATGTGCCCCATAGGCTCATATACTTGCACTCTTAGTGCCCAGCTGATGAACTGTTTAGAAGGATTAGGAGGTGTGTTGGAGTAGGTGTGTCCTTGTTGGAGGAAGTATATTGTTGGGAGTGGGCTTTGATGTTTAAAATCCCATACCAGGCCCAATCTCCCTCTCCCTCTCCCTCTCCCTCTCCCTCTCTCTCTCTGCCTGCCTGAGGATCAGGATGCAAAGCTTTCAGTTACTGCTCCAGTGCCATGTCTGTCTGTTTCCTGCCATGATGTTAATAGACTAAGATAGTGGACTAACCCTCTGAAAGTGTAAACAAACCCTCAACAAAATGCTTTCTTTTATGGTTATGGTTTCTCTTTATAGCAATAGAACAGTGGATAAAACATTTGCCTTTTCTCTTTTATGAGATCACTCACATGATTTAGTATGTGTTTCCTTCCTCCAACTCTAATGACAAACTTTCTAAGCTTCTCACCTCGGAAGGGTCTGCTCCATGTCACCATCTGCCTCTCCTCACTGCATCTCCATTGTGCTTATGCTGGCCACCTGGACAATTCAGGATGACATCCTATCTCTAGATTATTAAGTCTGTTACATCAATGAAGTTCCTTTGGCCAACTACAAAAAGAATGCAGTGACATTCAGAAGTACCAGGAATTCAGGCACAGGCATCTCTGGGGGAAGAGTCTATTTCTTCTAATCAATTCAGATACATAACTTACATAAAGACTTGAAAAGGCTTCTTGAAGTCAAAGCTAAGGTTAATGTAAAACATGGAAAATTTATTCACTCCAACCATGTAAAAATGAATAGGCTGTTCTGTCTTTTTTGAATAGCAGGAGAATTTCATTTGTAAGTATTTGTGCTCATCTGAAGACTACATTTCTACATTTCCCTCCCACCTTGCCTTGAACCATGATTCTGACTTTGTGAGCATAGTCTACATTCTAGCTTAAAATTAACTGTCTAACCAATTATTCCTCCCTTTCCATTCCCATGATCCTTTATATAAATATGTTCATGATAAGTTGTTGCCCATGTAGTCATGGAGACAAGATGATACTCCAAGCCTGATTTGCAGGCTTTTATTGATTTGTTCAGATAGCAAATAGTTTACCCTTTGTGAACTATATGGTATCAGTCATAACTACCCAACTCTTCTTTTGTTGCACGATAGCAATCACAGAAAATATGCTAAAATATGAGCAGATTGTATTCCAATATACTTTTATTTACCAAAATAGATGGCAGACCAGATTTTATGGTACTTTTCTGACCCCTGCTATAGGTGAAGAGGAGCAATAGAGGGAAGGAACATGGGTTCCTGGATGACAGCCCTCAGGAAGAGCTTTACAAAAAAGGTAGGCAATCAGGCAGTGGTGGTATACTCCTTTAATCCCAGAGCTTAGGAGGCAGAGGCAGACAGATCTCTGTGAATTCAAGTCCAATCTGGTCAACAGACTGAGTTCCAAGATAGGCTCCAAAGCCATACAGAAAAACCCTGTCTCAAAACAAAACAAAACAGAAAACAAAAAACTAAAAACAAAAAAGCAAAACAAACAAACAAAACAAAAGGATATGCACATCCATTATTTTTAAAGCACCTTAAAAAAAACTTTCACAGTACCAATATATATGAGTACATCCATACACTCATATGTACATATAAAATGGGCAAAGTATTGAAATCTACCTGGTAGCCAAAGAATAGGATTCTGAATTAGAAAGTCCTTTTACAATTAATTAACTAAGGAAAATACTAAAATAATCAAACAGAAATGTGGGCAAAGATGTTAACAGAAAACTAACCAAAAAGTAAATGCAAATGAATACAGATAAAGAGGAGTAGAAATTAATCATGCTGTATAAAACTTATTTTCCATGCTCAAATGTACACCAATAAAATAAAAATAAACAAATGTGGTGATATATTGTGTACCCTAATAAAACTTGCCTGAAGATCAGAGAACAGAACAAGCCACTAGATTAAACATAGAAGCCAGGCAGTGATGGCACACACTTTTAATCCTAGCACTCAGGAGGCAGAGATCCCTCTGGATCTCTGTGAGTTCAGAGCCATGTTAGACTACGTGAGATTGACTCAGTCTAGGAGAGAAACAGAGCCAGGCAGTGGTGGCACACACCTTTAATCCCAATACTTGGGAGTCACATGCCTTTAATCCCAGCACTTGAGATCTCATGCCTTTGCTTGGGGAAGCACACACACCTTTAATCCCAGTACTAAGAAGGAAGTGATGGCTGGGCAGAGAAAGGTATATAAGGCGTGAGGAGACAGGAACTTAATGCTTTTCAGCTAGAGAGCTTCAGAGATATTCAGTCAGTGGATTTGTGGAGTTGGCAAGGTAAGATGTGGCAGTAGCTTGCTCCTTTGTCTCTCTGATCTTTCAGCATTTACCCCAATATCAGACTCTGGGTTTTTTATTAAAAGACCGTTTAGCAATTCATGTTACAAACAATATTTATTAAACTTCATGTTGCTGTAAGAAAAAATTCGGCACAACCAAGTTGAGGAGTAAGGAGGGTTTAATTTTGCTTACAACTAAGAGGTCACCAGTCCCTCATGGAGGTGATGGTAGATGGAAGGCCTAAAGCAACCAAGTCATTGTGGCAGAAACTTCAGTGTGACTCAGTCATGCTTTGGCACATTGGGAAGCAGAAAGTTCAGACATCAGAAGCAGATACCAATTTCAAGGCTGGTAGCCTTGACCTACTTTTAGCTAGTTAGTCTTGTCTCCAAAGTTCTATAACCTCCCAAATCAGCACCACCAGCTGAGAACTAAGTCTGTAAACACATGAGCCTGTGGGGGAACATTTCGAATTCCACCCCCAGCCTCTAAAGGGTCATAGCATTCTTACAATGCAAAATGCATTCAGTCAAACTTCAAAACGCTTGTACTCTTAACAGAGCTAATGCCTTTCAAAAGTCCCAATTCTCTGCTGAGACTCAAGTTAATTTCTTAATAGTGAGCCCCTGCAAAACCCAAAAGGAAGTCGTTTTTATTGTATAATTGTAGTATACAATGGCAAGAAGTAAATATTTCTATTCAAAAAGGAAGCAAGAGAATCATAAGCAGGAATGAGCAGATGGAGACTAGACTGACCAGCAGAATAGAAATTAATTCCTATAAGTCTTTGCGCAGTGTTTGTGGCATGTGGTGGCATTGTCTAAGATCTATTAGGCTTGGGCAGCCTTGTGCCTACCATTCTGCCATTGTCATAATAAATTGGCTCACTCTTAAGCTGTCTCTATTCAGTGCCTCAACCTTTCCTTGGCAGACACACCTCCCAGTCCTAGCATCTTCAATTTCCTGGGGTCTCTACTGCAACTTGGGTTTTGTCTACATAGCTTCACCACACACTTGCTCCTCAGGGAATCTGATCAGCTGTACAGTGACTTACCTTAAGATCCCCCCACCCTCACACTCCCACATCCCCTGGATGTAAGCTTCCATTATGATATAATGAGGTTTAGCTACCCCTCCTCCAACACAGCTACAGTGGCCTCTGAGTGCTTAATTGGATGACCTGAGAAATCACTTCCTTTGGTGAACTTGTTCTAGTACCATGACTCTGTGGTGTCATTTACCTTTGAAAAGAATGTCTTTTAAATGGGTTCCCATTTGTAGAGGCTAGAGACTTCCACAAGTGGAGTCTTGTTCTCAAGGCATTCTATTATCTCAATTTGAAGTGTACAATTTCTCAATAGTGCCACTAATATCTTAAATATTCATATACATTTCTCTGTATCCACCTTGTCCACAACTTGACTTCATTTATTTATTGATTTGAGATGAAGTCTCACTGTGTAGCTTAGGTGGCCTGGAGATAACTATGAAGCCCATAATGAGCCTGACTCCATGGCAATCTGCGTGTTTCAGCCTTCCAAGTTTAGAACGCCAATTCCCCCTTTATCAAATGTGCCCTTTCCACATCATCCTGTTCTACTTTTTCCTCTAGATTCTCACTATAAACATGGCTGTTAGCACCGAGAAACAACTATACCATGGCTTGCATGTCATGCTGCCTTGAATTAAGCATCATACACATTTTGAAGATATGAGCAGAATGGAGCCAGATTAATTGGCAGAATGTAACACTAATGTCTTTTAACAGAGTTCCCAATATAGTCCTGTTCCTCTCTGAAGCCTCTTACTCACAGTCTGTCTGCATTTCCCTCAGCATTCTGGTCTTTCAAGCTCTCATCAAAATAGCCCTTTAAACTCTGTTTTCAACATTCTAGATATTTTCTATTCCATAGCATCTGCAGGGAGCAGAGCAAGCCCTGAGTGTGTGAAGTCCTGCATGAATGTGTATTTGACATGGGCATGGCCCTTTTGAGGACTCCAAGGCTCAGACCCATGGAAAATCCCACAAAGCCAGTTCTTTATACAACTAGGCTCAAGAGGGGTAGTATAGTTCTCCTTGAGAGTCTGAGTGTTTATGAACAATTGGTCAGTGTGTGCAAAGACTAACAACTGCTGCTTCCTACTCCTGGATGTTTACAGCCAGAGACTGCTTGCCTACAGAGACCTCCTACACATACCTAGCCAAGTCCTGCCCCTGTGCGATATCTAACATAGTGAGGTTCCTTGTTGCAGCTGCTAGAGAACCTCACCTGATCCCAGTTTTACTGTACCTGTGTCTGTGTGTCTGTCCTCTCTTTGTCGTCCCCTTCCCCCCCAACAAGTCCCTAGTCAAGGTTCTAGGACCCAACCTGCATAAGACTCTACAAGCTTCAATCTGTTCTACACTCCTTCTACATACCATCTCCAAAAGTTTAAAACAATATAGACGGTCACAAAAGTTACTCCACTTCTCAGTACTGTGTGTGTGTGTGTGTGTGTGTGTGTGTGTGTGTGTGTTACTTTTCTCATCATTGTGATTAAAGTACCCAATAGAGCATCTTAAGACAAGAAAGGCTCATTTGGCTCACAGTTCAAAAGGTTACAGTTCATCATGGCGGAAAGACTAACCTGAACTGCTTAGTCCACAGTAGCAGGACCTTGTTGCACTGCTTGTTCACACATGGTGGGTCAGGCAGCAGAGAGCATGGAGCAAGAAGCAGAAGTGGATACCATCTTCAAGGCTGCTTCCCAGTGACCTACTTCTGCTACCTGGCCTCCAGCCCTTGGACTCCCCAGACTTCATAAGACATCAAAAATAGTTTTATAGCCGGGCGGTGGTGGCGCACGCCTTTAATCCCAGCACTCGGGAGGCAGAGCCAGGCGGATCTCTGTGAGTTCGAGGCCAGCCTGGTCTCCAAAGCGAGTTCCAGGAAAGGCGCAAAGCTACACAGAGAAACCCTGTCTTGAAAAACCAAAAAAAAAAAAAAAATAGTTTTATGGTACCAAGTATTCAAACACATGAGCCAGTGGGAAACATTAAGCATTCAAACCATAACGCATGAGATAATGTTTTCTCACCAAATTGGTTAGAAAAAGAAGTTTTCTAGAATATGCAATATTTGAGAGCATATGTGAATAGATTATCTTATACCTCAGATGGATATAAAGTGCTTCTAAAGAATTAAGCAGAATCTTACAGTGAATATTAAGATATTAAGAAGTGCATTTTAGTCAAGCAATTTCATTTCTTCTCGGTCTATTCTGAGATGCTAGAATATGTTCAGTGTTATAAGAATTTTACATAATTACACATTTAACAAAATGAAGACTTTGGTGACATTTCCAGCCACAGAGAAGCTTAGTAAATAATGGAATGACATTGAAATTATTAAAATAATTTGGAAAACTCCTAAACAACATGGAAACATATCTGTGACACACTAAACTAATAAAACAGCTATAAAGCATAGATCATAGAACCATATCCTTATTAATGAAACCATGCACACAGACCCCAAAGTAGACAAAATGATTATTGCTACATGAAAGTGGGATAATTAATGGTTTTCATTTTACATAATTTGCATTTCAGTATTACCTAACACTTCTATTGAATTCTGGGTTTCCTTCAACAATAGAAAATAATATATGGCTTGTACATAATTAATAAACTAAAACCAAGAAGTTATTTGTAACTGTTCAATTTATTTTTTAATAAATATTTATCATGTGTCTATTGTGTGCCAAGTACCTTCTTAGGGACTTGGAATAAAATGAAATATGAGACAAAATCTTTGCCTTACAGTTTACTGTTTGGTAGGGGATAGAGATATTACACAAGTACATAAGTGAAATTTCAAGATATTAGAGATAATGAGATCTACTATGGAGGAAATGATCAGGTAGAGTTTGAGCTGAGTCCTGGAGGAAGAGAAGGAGCCTACACGTGAAGGGAAATAGGGAGAGTGCATCTATCAGAAGACAGGTGGGAAATCCAGGATCTACAAAGAACTTGGGAGAGGAAAAAGGAATTAGTCAGGTGGCCAAGGTGACAAATTGAGTGGTGGTTTCAGAGGATGTCAAGAAGTTGATCAGGACAGAAAAAGCAAAGACATGCAAGTGTTAATAAACACTCTGGTTTTTCTTCCAAGTTAAAAGCAACAATAATAATCAAAAATAAACTGTGATGTTTCTGATGCAACGAAGTGATATTTTCTGCCTGTTGCTGAGGACTCATATGCCTAAAGCACAAAAGATGCATAAAAAGGAAAGAAAAGACAAAACAAGCTGGAGAAGTGGTCAAAGAATTAGAAGAAGTATAAATTAGTTAGAAACAAAGAACAGTGTACTAGCTAGTAAGCAAAACAGTCAATTCAAATGCATTTTCATTTCTTAGAGTAGCAAAGTTCAAGAAAGACATTGAGTATGGTGTGAGGCTACTCTGAGACAGTCAGCTGCATAGTGTGGGCTGTGCATTGATAACTTCGTGAAAAAGCAATAGTAGAAGCCAAAAGTGTTTCAAAATTGTCTGTCTCATTACTTCTTGTATTAGAGCTGTCCGTTCCATCATTCCTTGTCTTCTGAAAGTGTTTTGCTACTGATGGAGATGAGCTGTAAGGTGCTGATCTTAGGGCTGGATAGAATAAGTCTTTAAGCCAGTGGTTCTCCTTCATAAAAAGACATGCAGTTTATTCTATTTATTATTTATAACATTGGGAGAAAATGTTAAAATAGTTTTTGAATTATGTACATTGACTTCCCAACCTTTGTTTTTCTTTTTATAACTCTTAAGTCTTAAGATTTTAGGGACATGAGTTAAGAGTACTTACTACTCTTTCAGTGAACCCAAATTTGGTTCCTATCACCAACATCAGGTAGTTCACAACCACATATTAACTCAAACTTCAGGGGATCTGACACCCTCCTCTGATCTCCTCCATACAGGCACCTATATACATGTGGCATAACCCTCCTACAGATATTCAAGCATATGCATTAAAAAAAATTAGGAAAACAAGCTTCTATGGACTTGGTTCTGCCTTCCAAAAAATGAGGATATTCACAGAATAGCAAATGCATAAACCCATTGTGATTCTAGTCTTGTAAATGAGACAATTTAGCTATGGAAAATATATTTGTCCAAAGTCTTACCCTAGCAGATAGGTGCTCAATTTTCTACAATTCCATAACCCTAATGCTAAGTACACATGTTTGGACATTTTAGTGTTCTCCATCCTTCCCTTTGTTGTTCCAGTTTATTTACTTTTGTGAGGCCTAAAGAACATTTTGAAAATCACTTTACATGGTGTTAAGATTATATTATTATGTTATAGTACTATAACTACAGTACAATGAAAATATCAACATTTCCTTATACTAAATGTTAATCACTCTGCTTTTCATTTTATGACCTTGTCTCTCCCATCACATGATATTCACAGAATAGCAAATGCATAAACCCATTGTGATTCTAGTCTTGTAAATGAGACAATTTAGCTATGGAAAATATATTTGTCCAAAGTCTTACCCTAGCAGATAGGTGCTCAATTTTCTACAATTCCATAACCCTAATGCTAAGTACACATGTTTGGACATTTTAGTGTTCTCCATCCTTCCCTTTGTTGTTCCAGTTTATTAAAAGCAAAACCTCTTATCTGTGCATCATCTATGCACTGGAATGATGATGGAGTTGTCTACACTAAGAATGTAGACGGGCTTCTTGAGGGGACTCCTTTGAACAGATGTTCAAGAATGCTAACACAGGAAGTTGAAGAAGTAGAAAAACCAGTAAATAAAAAGCATGAACAATCTAGGCTGAGCATCTTAGTTTGATAAGAGTTTAAAAATAATTTTTGTCAAAGATACAAAGAGCTGATACGGGGCAGGCCTTGGCTAGCCTGGGGCCTGTACATATTTTAATGGAGCTTCCAAGAACATTTTACACTGGAGAACAAATTCACTATCTACTTAAGGAAGATGATTCTGCCGACTATAGAAAGAGCTAAAAGCATCAAGACCACGGCAGGACACAATCCAGCAATGAGTACCACAAGCATTAAGAAAGAGGCAGGGAGGGGACATAGTTGATAGAACACAGAAAGAAGGACCACAAGCATTAAGAAAGAGGCAGTGAGGGGACATGGCTGATGGAACACAGGAAGAAAGGAGCTGAGGGTTTTGGGAGAGTTCTAAGAACTGGTCAAATGTCTATCCAGGTCTCAATGCCACGAGAAAGTCACAGTCTCTAGTGAATAATTTGTAATGTCCAATTTCACCAACTATAAGCAGAAGTTCAAGAAATCAAGACAATAGGGAGGAATTCCTAACCTAAAGGTTCACAGAGCTGTGCACCCGGATGGCAGGAAGGAGCATATCATGACTCAGTTGAGATCGAACCTCAATAATTAACTCTTGCCGGCCTGTTGGAAACCTTTCAGCTTGAACTGCAGCAATGACTTCAAGAACATGGGCTCTCAATATCCAGGATGTATTCTTATCTGCCAAATAAAGTGTTTTGTTATAATTTTCAACTTTCTGGGAACTCAAGATAAACTTAGCACTTAAAATCACTACACTGCATAATGGTAACAGGGGGTTATCAATTCTCTTTTATACCTTAGTGCTAACTTACTAAACTATGAACGATATATTTAAATATTGGTTCCAGTAGAAAGTGTGGAAAAGAATCCTTGCTCTGTCTATAGGTCAGGGAACTCTTAGGATGATGGCCCAGCAGCTCTGATGTCACTCTTTCAAAGAGAAGGAAGACATGGCACTCCCTGACATCTGCTGCGCTGTGAAAGAATTTCTTCTTTTGCTTGGCTCTTCTGTCAAAATGCAGATCTCAAACCATGAAAATATGAAAAAGTCAACAGTAATTTCTTTTAAGAACTTTCTTAGATGTATTTAACTTTTATGTGTATAAGTGCTTTGCCTGCGTGTGTGTATCTGCCCCACATTTGTGCCTGGTAGCTGCAGAAGTCTAAAGAGGATTCAGATAATTTAAGTTGTGGGTGGTTGTGAACCACCACGTTAGTGATGGAGTCCATCAACAAGATCTATAAATGGTCTTAACCATTGAGCCATCTCTCCAGCCTCAGTAGTAACTTCTATGGACTATTATGATTTCTCTAACTTTGTAATTTTCAAAGGAAAAAAAAACCTTTAAATTGAAAGAAATCTGTGTTCCCTTCCCTGGTATTGCAGTTCTAACACATAAAGTGAAGTGACCAGGGACATTATTGCTGATGGACCTGCAACATCTTTCTTCAAGAGTAACCCAGGTTAATTGACAGCAATGAGAAATCAGTAGCAAAGGCTTCAGATAACCCAATATTTTTTCTTAAAAGACTAAACCCATTTAAAAATCAGAGCACATTAGTAAGTCTAAAATTTCAAATACAAAATCAACTGGAGAATTGACAAAATGTACTTTCATGCACAGTACATTTTCATCACAATTTAGTAGATATGTGTTCTTCTAGATCAATGGTTCTTAACTTTCCTAAGGTTTCAACCCTTTAATAGAGTTCCTCATGTTGTGGTGACCCCCAACCATAAAATGTCATTGCTACTTCATTTGCTACTATTTTGAAATGTTATGTAAATATCCGTGTTTTCTGATGGTCTCAGGCAACCCCTGTGAAAGGGTCATTTGACTCCCCCAAAGGAGTTGCAACCCATAGGTTGAGAACCACAGTTCTAGACAGATAGATGACAGAGGGCAGAAGAAAAGATGAATGGATAGACAGACAGACTAAATGAAAGACTCACAAAACAAACACATTTGATTTTCTTCGCTCGCATAAAACAAATGGTTAAAGTGGGAATGGTCAGATGGTGGAAAATTTCAGGCAAATATGAAAGTCACTGAATATTTCATATTACGTAAGACTGGTTAGGAAGGCCATTTTTATACCTTCAGATTTTTGACAAAATGGGCTTTCACCAGAGTATTAGAAATACAAAGTCACACTAAGCAGCAGTATTTAAAGACATATCCATACTCATATACTACATAACACTGTCCCTCTCAGCCCTGCGCTCTTTTTAAACCTCAGTACTATTAGTAGCTTCTCTCATTTCTTCCACCAGGAATTCCTGTGTGGGGTTTTCAGCACTTTTTCCACACATCAAATGTTCCCCACCTAGGTTTTGAGATGCAGGTTCCTGGACCAGCAGGCCAGATGTGTTTATGACCATGTTGCTTTTAGCTCTTAGGACATAGGTTTCCTGGGGTTTGGTTTTCTTTTGGCAGATCTGGAACGCATCTTGGAAACCACTGCGAAAATTTTCGTTAAAGAAACCGTAAATGATGGGGTTGACACTGCTGTTGCAAAAGGCAAGCCAGTGGGCGAAGGGGTAGATGTAGATGTTGATGACAAGCAGTTTGTTAGGAGACAGGTCAGCATAGTCCGAGAGCATCATCAGGGTCCATAGGGGCAGCCAGGAAAGCATAAAAAGGAGGGCCACAGTCAACAGCATCTTGATGACCTTCTGTTTCTTCTTGGACACATGCCACTGCTCCTGGCGCTGCTTTCCGGAGCAATTGGCTGAAGTCTTGAAGAGGGAAGCCCCAATCCGTGCATACATGACAACAATGAGGGACAGCGGAGCCAGGTAGATGGTGGCAAATAGCACAGTCGTGTAGCTCCTCCTCATTTCCTGGTTCGGCCAGTCCTCCCGACACCAGTAGACTGTGCTGGTTTTATTGTGGGAGCTGAGTCTCACACGGTAGTATTTTTCTTCTTGTACGTGTAACATTACTGCAGATGGAGACATAATGGCGATGGCCAGGCCCCAGATGATCACAATAGTGACAAATGCTGTCTTGATAGTGAGCTTTGGCTTAAAAGGGTAGACCACACACCGGAATCTGCAATGAGAGGCAAAGATCAATGAGGCACCGCCTCAATTTCCAAACCTGATGGAAACAAGTGTGAGAACATCCACCTAGATTTCCCTCAAAAACACCCCAAGTTAGCACCTGGGGTAATGCGGCATGCATTGCCAATTTATATAACTGACAGAAGATATGTTTTAATTCAAAGTAAATGAATGAAGCAGATCAGATGCTATTAATGAGAAAATGCTATTATGGTGCTAATGGTATTACATCAGAATATACCAAATACGGTCCCTTAGAACTCTGCTGTACAGTTAGTCCCATGGGCTTACATCAGCTATTCCTTTAAGCATGACGAATTAAAGTATGAAGATTAGGATTTAGGAAAGGTCGCAATCTTGCTTATTGTTATTCATGATTTCAATCCAAGCAGTTGTACTCCAGAACGGTAGATTCAGTAGACAGCCAGTTCTACTGTGCTGCAGGAGACGCTCAGCAGCAGCAATTCATGAGCCATTTTCCCCCAGGTTCTTAATGTTCCTAATATATCGTTCATGTGGTTGGCCATGGAATGTGTTCTGGCTATTAGACATGACCTGGTATGCACATCAAGGCTGTCCTTTTGGATGCTTTTTCTGAAAATGCAGCTTCCAGGTTCCAAGAAACTTGAATTAGATGAAAAGTACATGGGGAAAGGCCCTGGGGAGCATCAGGCTGGCCATCTTAGACACATCAGTCTCAATTTAATTCAAAGGGTAACACTGCAGCATGAATGGTCTGGGGAGCAGAAGACTGAGAGAGGTGCTCTCTCAGCCCACAGACGCACAAGAGGAATAAATTACCGTTTCTTGTACCAAAGGTGCTCTTAGCTATTTCACAAGTATACAGGTCGATGAAGCACCATTATAAGTTCTGATAAAGACCCTTCTATAGCCTCTGTTGAGCATGGCAATTCAAAATCTGTTGAGGAACTTTACCACTTTTGTTATTGTGACTTTTGTTTTATATATATATATATATAAATATATATATGTAATATATATATTACAAATAATTATGTATGTGCTATTAAGCAAACCTATGGTTTTAGGTATGATCACCTACTTAAAACATTATTTTTTTTGCTTTTGTGATTATTCTAAAGCAGATTTTATTGCTCAGAAGACAGCTGTACAGATAAAGAAAGGAATGGTTGACTAGAAACTCCAAATTAACTTCTGTGATGCACCTTCAGAAAAGCACTAAAGAATGAATTGATGAAACCATATTGCTGAAGACACCACATACCTTGAATGCAAAATACAGAGAAATCAAGCTGGAACTGAGTTGAAAGATTTCTCCTTTCTGGCTAGCTTACATAGTGCCAGACAGTGCTTTGCAGGCTGCCGGGGTGGGAGGGGGGGCAGTAAAGACATAAAAGTTCTTACTCAGCTGGGAACTTTATGAACCAATCTCCCAGGCAAGATGTGTTTATTGGTGAAACTGTGTCACAACTGTTATGGGGGAAACCAGTTCCTCTCTGGGACTGACTCTGAGGTCTGCTCCACAAGAGGAAACCCATGCCTACTGCTGTAAACCAAGTCAAAAACTCTGATTAAAGAGGTCACAGACCCAAGGAAGGAACCTATTACTGATCCTTAGCTGAAGTGAAACAGCGTCAAACTTCCTTCTGATTTTCTTTGTTTACACCCACAGACAAAGGCTATGCTCAGCCGTAACCAGAGAATCCCCTCTTCAATGGATGTTGATGAAAGCAGAGAGCCATAAGATGCTGAGAATAATGGATGGTTGAAGACTCAGACCTAAACAAGACTGTAGCATGAATCTTAAATGGTCTTATTAATAAAATCAAACCCAGAGCCGGGTATTGGGGTGAATGCTAGAAGATCAGAGAAGCAGAACAGGCCACAGCCACCTCACCTTGCCAATTCCTCAGCCGATCCTGTTTCCTCAGACTGGATGCCTTTCAGCTGAACTGTGCTGCTCAAAAGCCTAAAAGCTTAACCAGCATCTAGTTCCTCATCCTCATGCCTTAAATACCTTTCTACTTTCTGCCATCACTTCCTGGGATTAAAGGCATGTGTCACCAACCTAGTTGTTTCTAGTGTGGCCTTGAATTCACAGAGATCCAGGTGGATCTCTGCCTCTGGAATGCTAGGATTAAAGGCGTGTGTGCCACTATTTTCTGGCCTCTGTATCTAGTGGCTGGTCTGTTCTCTGACCCCAGATAAGTTTATTAGGGTGCACAATATTTTGGGGAACACAATACCACCACACAAGACATTTGTTCCATTACCCTTAAGACTCAGTGAAAGTGAAGAATAGGAAGAATATGAGACCAAACAGGGAGAAGAGCTGTGAGATGCCATCTTCAAAGCATGATATGGCCACAGCAATCATCAACTCACAGTTGCTGTGCCTCGTAGTCCTGGGTCTGTACAAGTGCAGCCCATCCACAACAGTCAGCTGTGAATGGTGAAGGGGCTCATGAGGCTGTATCAGTTACTGCTGAACTATTAGCTACTAACAGATTCTGGGAGATAGGCAAGTCGGTATCTACTTATATAGCTTCTAGTGAGCCCACACGGCTCTAATAGATGGTTCCAAAGCCATGGTCACATCAACAGCCTCATTAAACACTGTGTGACACAGAACAAAATAGGAAGTCGTAAGTATTGGAAAGAGATTGGTAGGAAAGAAGGGACTGTGGTAGTAGTGGGAGCAGAGATAAGAGAGGCCATGGGACAGAGTCATCAGAATGAACAATATACATGTAGGCAATTGCCAAAGATTATAATTTATTAATAAAATAAGAATGATAATTTAATATTATGTGTATTACTGGTACAATCTCTGAATAATTAAAAATGAAATGAATGAAACTAAAGTGATAACGATGAAGAAAAACTCAAACATATGAAACCTTAGTTAGGGTTTCTATTGCCATGATAAAGATGATGACCAAGACAGGGTATGGTGGCGCATGCCTTTAATCCCAGCACTCAAAAGGATGGTGGATCTATGACTTTGAGACCAGCCTGGCCTACACAGTGAATTCCAATCCAGCCAAGGATACCGACTGAAACCCTGTTTCAAAAGACAAAACACAGCAAACAAAAATTTCACAAGCAAAATCAATTTGGGAGGAAAGGGTTTATTTCAGCATATAATTCTCAAGTCACACTTTACTGAAGGAACTCGGGACAAGAACCCTGGAGGCAGAGGTCAAGGAAGAGTGCTACTTACTGGTTTGCTCAGTTTGTTTTCTTATTCATCCCAGGACCACCTACTCAGGGAAAGCACCACCCACAATGACCTGGACCCTCCCACATCAATTATTAATCAAGAAAATGCCCCCACAGACTTGCCTACATGCTGATCTTATGGAGGCATTTTTATTTTCAGTTGAGATTTTTTTTTCCTCTCAGATGACTCTAGCTTGTGTAAAGTTGACTAAACACTAGACAGGACATGTCTAACACACAAACTAAAATTCAACAACCTGATGCAGATCAAGGCATTCATGCCACACAAAGAATAAAACGACTTTACATTTATTTATTGATTAACCTCATTAAATTTTCAAACATAAAAAGTAGAAGAAAATGCATGATGTCCTTTGTTGTTGCTCTCTAGACCTAACATACGTCCTTCTCATCTCTACACCACGCTGTCTTAAACACAACATTTCAGATGCAGCTGTGTTCCTCTTGGCAGCCAGCCATACGCATTCATTTGCCTCTTTGCAGAGACATTCGGAGGTTGCTAGCCATTTCTCCTGTATATGCAGTTCTGCACTTTTCAGCATTTGCCTGCATCTGGAATGTTTTAGATTTCACATTGTGACACCATATCGTGTGTGTCATTATGCAATCTCTCTCCAGTTTATGTTTTTTTAAATGTATATATGTTGACTTATGCTGCCCTGCTTCATTCATTTGAAATCTCTCTAACATTACCCACTGAAAAAAAGCATTGTTGGTTGATTTTAATCTCATTTACTTTCTAAAATGTAGAGGATCAATGTTTATTTTTAACTTTTTTTCAAGTGTCATATCAGAAACATTGCTCAAAGCGTGTAAGGACACCTAAGTACCAAATGTGAAGTGAAAACAAACATTTTAAGCTTAAGATTGAAGTAGAAATACAAATGATAGTATAGCTTTTGTTCACTGTATAATGTTCACTTGCAGGAGATCCTTGTATTTAATGTCTTTCTTTAAAGTGTGATGTATATTTTGAGTGAGCACACACACAAAAACCATGTATCTTTTACCCAAAAGTGATGTGGTTTATTACTTCAAACACTGAGGGTCCAACTGGCCTTGTTATGTGGTTATCGCAGAGAAGAACAATGTCTCAATGATTCTAAAATTAAATATCTCAGTTCATATTCCCAAGCTGTAACTGCGTGGGAAATACTAACACTTTAAAATCTGAGTAAATACATGTAATTACATGCTAAGTAATTTGTTATAAATCTTCAGTGAAGCAACAGTTTTGTGGTAGTACTCTGTATTATAGTAATATAAACAGGTAGATAGTTATATCAGTATATTATGTATTATTTATACATATACACACATATATATGAATATCAGTATATTCAGTATCATTTAATAGCAGTGACAAGATGTAGTAGCTTGGTAAATCAACACTTTCTGAAACTCAGGATTTGGAGCTGACTTACCTGTCCACGGCTATGGCAACCAAGGTAAAGACTGAAGTGGAGACTGATATTCCCTGCACCAGCCCACTGATCTTGCACATGCTGCTTCCAAATGGCCATCCTGGGTGGGAAATGGAACAGTCTTTTGAGAAGATTATTTTGCCACACTCTATTGCAAATAAGAACAAAGTGGCAAGAAATGAGGGCAGCCATGGAACCACGTCTCCTGGGGCTTTTGGTAATTTCTCCAGACAGAGTGTTTCATCAGTGCAGTATTCACAATGCAAAACTAACCCAGTAACAATTACATCCGAGACACTCTAGGAAGTACTTCACACTTGCCTCTGTTTAGTCCCCTGGGGAAGATTTGAATATGTGTTATAACTCATGGTATCTCCGGATAAGGTAAAAACCAAATATACACCTTGCCCCAGCCGGTTATGAGCATCATAAGATTTAAGCTCAGCTAAGTTTCCAGAGTGGAAACCATCAAACCTTACGTTGCGATGCTCTAAGCGAATACAGCAGCCAGAAAAATAATTTTGTAGTTTGGAAATACACCCCCAAAATTGTGAGGAACTGAGAATTACATCTGAAACAAATATATACAGTATGCAATTTACATAATAGTGATGTCTAGAATAAAGACTACTATACATTAATGGAAATAACAGAGTTCCTTACCTAGACCTTGGTGACTAGAGAAATAAGCAAAATTATCAGAGCAGTAAGACCTTCCAAAAACTCATTTTCAGTTAAAAAAAAAAAAAAAAGCTTCTCCTCCGAACAAATAATCTAGACATGTTTTTTGGATTTTAAATTTTATTGCTAAAAAATCCTGTAGTTTCTTTTCTAAAGAACAAACTACTCATATGTAATTTCTATTAGCCTAAATACCATAATCGAGTCTATTTTTAATAGGCATCCCTACTTAGATTTGCCTTTTCTCTTTGCTTTCTGAGATAGAGCTTTGCTATGGTGTTTAGATCGGCTTCTAACTTGGGATTTCTCCATTTGAGCCTCCCAGGCAGTCTAGATCATAAAATATATTCCCCAGTGAGTCTATTAAACACATAAGACCTCACACTAAAAAACAAACCAAAAATGGTTCTTCATGCTAGAAAGCCTCAAACCCAAAATAAAGCAACACAAGAAAGGACTGTGTAATAGAAAATTCACATAGAAATAGAATAAACAAGTTACCAGTAATGTCTGAAATATAGGATAATGGTAAAGAAACATACAGAAAATTAACAAAAATAGGCCACGTAATTTAAAACAATGAAAATGAAGAACTCAAGATGAAAGTTGAGAAAATCCTTCTCTGCCCCACAGTGTTGGGGATTGAGCCCAGAACCCTGTATAACCTAGGTAATCATTCTGACCATGAACTATATAGTTAGTCCTTGGATTTTTAAAAAAGATTTATTGTAATTTTAAAATTATGTGTATGTATGTGTCTGTATATAGGTATATACAGGTGAGTTCAGGTGCCCACAGAGGCCAGAAGAGGGCATCAAATTCACTAGAAGCTGAAGTTATAGGCGGTTTTGAGTCAACCAACATGGGTGCTGGGGTCTAAATCTAGGTCATTATGAACTGCTCTTAAGCATCAAGCAATCTGTCTAGTCCCAAACCCATGGATTTTGAAGATATTGTCTATATGTTGATCATGCTGAACTTTAACTTGCAATCCTCCTGCCTGGATCTCCAAAGTGCTGATATTATATTATAGGTATATACCTCCATGCCTTTAGCATGTGCACACGTGCACGCGCGCGCGCGCGCACACACACACACATTTGAAGAATAGAATAATAAGAAGCATAAATTGAATGAGAAACAATGAAAAGGGACATCCTGACCTCCTACATGTGATTAACACAGGCAAAACAAGGGAAAAGACTTGGCCAAGAAAATTCTCCAGGATGAAGCACATTGATTTTCAGATTAAAAGGAGTACTTTGCATCCAGTGCAATAAATTAACCACAGAAAACCAACTTCCAGCCCTAATTTCCTAAAATTCAGAACACTGGGGGAATAAAGAAAACTCAAAAAGCTTTTAGGAAGAAAAAATACACAACTCAAATAAAAGACAGCAAGAGTCAAAAATGTTCAACAGTAACTCAACATTTCTCAGAAGCAACAGGAAAGTGATCCCTTTAAAATTCTGAGAGGAAAGCCGGGCGGTGGTGGCGCACGCCTTTAATCCCAGCACTCGGGAGGCAGAGCCAGGCGGATCTCTGTGAGTTCGAGGCCAGCCTGGGCTACCAAGTGAGTTCCAGGAGAGGCGCAAAGCTACACAGAGAAACCCTGTCTCGAAAAACCAAAAAAAAAAAAAAAAAAAAAATTCTGAGAGGAAAATTTTCTAACCCAGAACTGTTCACATAGCTAACTATAATCGTGAGAGTAAAACAAAGACATTTAGAGACACGTAAATTCTCAGAAATGTTTCATCACGATGTGCTATTTCTTAGGAAGGAATAAAGTAGAACGAAGATCTGATATCAGAAAACAGAGGGACAAATACAAAGAGAAGTGGAGAAGATTGCCAGTGAGGAGACAGCTAACAACCACTGAGCAATTCCCATCATGGCCAGTGGAAGAGGTGAAGGGTGTGATGTATGCTTGTGTTTATGTGGTATAAGTGGATTACGGAAATGGAATTTCTGTCTTATGCAGTTTAGAAAACAGAAAATGGCATGAGTTGCATGTTACTTAGATATGTGGTCATAATTACCAAAAATAAAGACATAAAATGCTGTAAGTGGCTGCCTATTAGAAAACAAAAGCAAGGGTACGGTGACGTGATTTATGTGCAAAATGTTAATCATCTAATTCAAAATAATGATGTCAGGAAACTGAGCGTCCTGAGAGGATAGGAGCTTTGAAATAGCTGGCACTACTGCAGAGAACTTCAATATGTTGCAATTATTTCATTGTTTTTCTTATATTGGTAGGAACGTGAACATCTCAAGTGTTGTTCCTCAACTCGTACAATATTAAACCAACACTCTGAATGAAAACCCTACTTGGATGAAGGAATATACTGTCCCTGCACTTCTACACCATGTAAAGTGGTATAAAGAAATAATGACATGGACCCAGAAGTATGGGAAAGAAGTTCTTGTTCCCAAACCATACATCTATTTGATCATTACATGTTTTGTTTAGAATGTAAACAAGATCTTCATCTTGTGAAGATATCTTCACCTGGAACACTTCAGGGCACTCAATAAGTATGTGTAAATGAATGAATGACTCTGCTCTGACTTTGAGCATATGTGGAAGCATTTTCTGAGGGCATCTTTATACTGCATACAACTCAACATACCTGCTATGATGTTGTCCAGCAATGTGATAGGCATGCAGAATATTCCAACCAGCAAATCACTTATTGCCAGGTTTAAGATGAAGAAATTAGTCACAGTGTGCATGTGTTTGTTCCTTATTACAATAAAACAAACTACAGTATTTCCCACCATGCACAGGAAAAATATCAGGAAATAGGAACTAATGAAGATTGCTGCCACTTGAGGCTGGTGAAGATAATAGTTCACATAGGTGATGTTGATATCCGAGTACCAGGGTTGCTGTGTGTCATTGCTACTGCAGGTGTGATTCCAGTTTTCTGAAGAGTTTGAGTCCCATTTCCTGCTCATCGTGGACCTTAACAAAGGAGAGGTAGAAAAGAGAAGATTAATGAGAGAGAATTAATTCTACATTGGTAGAATGTAACTTCTATGTAACTTTCTGGGTATTTTTTCAACGTTATTGAATTTGAATGAGCTCTCAGTTATCCACCAGTTTTACACGAAAGTGAATTATAAACGAAGCATTCATCATATTAGGATTTCAACTGGAAGCATTTGAAATTATCCCTTTGTGCCATTCACAACAATCAGTACAATTGATTCCCTGATGTTCTTGTAAGACAGGGGTGTATCAGCAGAGCCTCCAGCCTGTCTAATAATCTGACAAGGGATTATTTCTATGGGTGTTTGGAAGATGCAGACCCACCTCTGTATTCAGATTATCAGACAAATTTTTCAAATTATACTATTGTATTCAACTTTTAAGAATAATGTTAGAAAATTTAAATTGGTAGATATCAATTTAAGTGGACCAACCACTGAGTTGGCAAGACCATACTTTGAAACACTTTGGGGCAATTAGTGACTTCACAATCTCTCCTGGATCTTTGCCAAGTATACTTGTGTCGCATATCTGGTGAAGTCATTATTCATCTCTTCACTGAGCTTTGTTGTAGATGACACTTCTGCATGAAGTCACTGAATGAGTGAGATACTGTTGATCTATTTCCTGGCTGAACCAGAGAGATGTAGACTCTTATGGCTTTCCTTTGGGAAAGGATCCATTTGTAAATTAAGCATTGAATGCACAATGAACTCCTCTTAGGAAAAGGATTGAAATACATGAGCAGTAACAGTTTTTACACAGTCATTTTTCTTTTAGATTTACAGGACCCTACTGTCTTGGAAGCCGCAGGACAGAGAACTTGGCACCTGTACATTGCACTGATGCCCACCTATTTGGTGTGCTTCCTCACTGCCTGCTCTGGATGTAGACCTCATGCCTGCAACCCAAAGATAACATGGAATCTACTGATGAGTCTTTATCATCTTCAGTTTCCAAAACAAATCTTTGCCCAACAACTTGCCTTTTGCATCACTGTTCTTAAGTGATGAGAAATGAATTGTGTTTCATGGTTACATTTTTTTTAGTATAGAAAAAAGTAACTAGATATTAAGCCATTAAAATAGATGAGGGAGATTAATTTTAATACCACGTATTATGTTACACTTTTATTTCCTTTTTTTCCCTCTGATTATTTTAGGTTATCCTTGGGTTTCTCCTATATTTTATAGCTGTATTCACCTCCCTCAAAAAGCAAAAATCAGAAACCCTTTTTGAGGTTTCAGAATGTATTCTACACTCAAATTCCACACCTTCATTTCAACTGAGGACAGCGTTGTGAGTAAGCTATGGAGATTTGGATAAAGAACTCAAACCCATGTCCTTTAGCTATCTCATCTAAAAGGTGATGATAGCACATGTACATGCTTCATAGTGTTGAAGGCTTTCATAAAATAATTATTGCTAAAATGCATTTTGTTTACTAGAGGTCAAACTTAGCAATAAGTATCTTTATTATGCATTTTTTACATCAACACAATCAAATAGGTAACGAAGGCAATAGCCAAATGAATTATCTGTCAAAGATCACCAATAAGAAAGTAGACATGGAACCGTTTCTTCCAGGAATCTTCCTCTAGAATTAATGTTCTTTTTTTTTTTTTTTTTTTTTTTTTTTAATCTATTTATTATGTATACAGTGTTCTGCCTGCATGTTTGCCTGCAGGCCAGAAGAGGGCACCAGACCTCACTACAGATGGTTGTGAGCCACCATATGGTTGCTGGGAATTGAACTCAGGACCTCTGGAAGAGCAACCAGTGCTCTTAACCACTGAGCCATGTCTCCAGCCCTAGAACTAACATTCTTAATCTTACACTATAACCCACATAATGCAATTTGAGTATATAACATAGAGACTCAGTAAATATTTCATACTATTTTCCTCCCTCCATCCCAGCCTTTCTCCTTTTCTGCCTTTTTTGTTTTAATGGGATTTATTTTAACTTTCTACATGCCATATTCAGAAATAGGATACCAGAATGTAAAATACCTACAGTGTACTTTTTGTTAATATAATAAAAGTTATATATATTGTTCAAAAACTGAGTGCTAATTCTTACTCTTAAAATAATTTAGGCTGCCGGGCGGTGGTGGCGCATGCCTTTAATCCCAGCACTCGGGAGGCAGAGCCAGGCGGATCTCTGTGAGTTCGAGGCCAGCCTGGGCTACCAAGTGAGTCCCAGGAAAGGCGCAAAGCTACACAGAGAAACCCTGTCTCGAAAAACCAAAAAAAAAAAATAATAATAATTTAGGCTTATGAAGGGGCTGAACAAGGGATAGAGTTACCAGGCTAGCCCTCTGGGGAAAGTGCTTCTCTGTCATCTTTCCTGGAACTGAGGGGAACTTCTTTGTTCTTTCGTTTATTTAACAAAAAGCGCCATGGTGACCATGTGCTAGGCAGTGTTCTAGGAACTAGAAATATAACTATGAAATGAATCAGGTCTCAACCCCCAGGAGACCAGGAATTCAGACAATGGGGCGCTGAAACCAGTTCACAACCCTTTGTGAAGGCCAGTTTTACACCATTGTTCCCAGCTATCTTATGTTACAGGCTGGATAACACAGGGATATTTACAACACCACCACTTCTCCTCCAGCAAACTTGAAAAGTGTGTGTGGGGGGGGGGAGCTTTCTCTTTATGCTTCCTTAAAAAAATGGCTAGTAATATTTATCAGCACATCAGTGACTCAAATGAGCCCTTAGAGAAAAAAAAACAGAGGTTTGAAAAAAAGAGTATAATTATGTAAAAATTGAAAAAAGAGGTAAAAAGAAAAATTATGTAACTACACCAGGATAATAGAAAAAGCAGGTAATACAAATTTTGAAAGTACAATAAATGCAGCAATGTGGAAAACTAGAGAGACAATATAACATTGTAAGCACGTCTTCACAACAGACTAAATCAAGATAATGTCCATGAAATGAAATAAGCCTGTAAATTAAATTACATCTCAAATGAAGAGTTTATATGCAGTCCCCTTAATTTCATAATGGCAATAAAGTATTTTCCAGTTTGCTTTTCACCTTTCAAAAATCTGATATACTAACTTTACTACAGTGACAAAATCATAACGAAATGCAAAAAAAGGTTATAATAAATAAATAGCTTTGAGAATGGAGTCAATCATCACATACATATGGGAAAAACTCCATAAATAAGTCAGTTCACTCTAGTTTGACATAGAAAAAGTTTATTTAAATGCGTTGTGATTAAAATGTTCACATTTGGGATTCTATCTGCCAATTAGAATTCCTAGAAAGAAGCTGTGTCTGCAAAGACTGTTGACTGACAGAACTGATGTGGAGAGGTTGGGATGCTGCAACTTCAGACATCAATTACTTTATCTTGGGCTAGGTTTAACCCCATGAAGAGCCATTAATTGCCCATAAAAGTTAAAAGTCTTTTAGAATCTTTTAACTGAGACCCCTAGGTACCACCAATCCATAAGCTAAAAATATCATTCAATAGCATCTGGGGCCTATAGAGAAGCTTCTCCCATCTTGCTATATCCACCTTCTGATGTACCCACCTTCTTCTGTACCCACCTTCTAATGATGTACCCATCTTCTGATGTACTCACCAATGCGTTTTAAACAGGTATTGATTTATGACTTTATTCTGTAAAACTATAAAATCCCATGAAACTCTCTCCATGTTGAAACAATGAATTTGCAATAACCTAAATAAATCTGTTATCCCACGGCCATGGTCACTCAAATTTGGCTCTAGGATAAACTTTCTCTGTTCCATTAAGGCGAGAGCTCTGTTTTTTTCTCCTCACACTTAGCAAGTGCACTGACTCTAAAGCAGTAACAAATGGATTAAAAAAAAAACATTGCTAGATATAGTCTGTGCTGTTGTTATTTCATTCTTTTTTAATAGATGTGTACATAAATTTAAAATAGTAATTATGCATTATTGGAATATTACAGCTTCATTACCGATATAAATATTGAGATTCATTCCATACTAAAATGATCAACTTCAGTGACCTGTTTGAACACAGAATCACATTAATGCATTTTAATTGCATCCTTCTATGTCCCACAAAGGGCCCAACCCTGAAGCTATTGGTGTCTATATCAAGCTCCTGGGACCACAGGCTTTTTGAGAACTGGGGAAACACTTCGATTACTGTTCCTGACTAGGATAATCGAAGATACTGTAATTGTGAGGGGCTACTTCTCCAGGTCTCTTATGTAATCCAGCTCCTGGGAAGACCAGACAAAAATATTCAGGAGACATAAATGGAATTACAGACTCCAAGAAAGCATAAGGAGTTATACAACAACAAATTGCCAAAACAGAGAGAGAGAGAGAGAGAGAGAGAGAGAGAGAGAGAGAGAGAGAGAGAGAGAGAATGAGAATGACAGGAGGAGAGAAGTGGAAAGAAAGGAAATGATCGTAACCTAGGCGATGCAAGTGGTATTAAAATAATTATGCCGGGCGGTGGTGGCGCACGCCTTTAATTCCAACACTCGGGAGGCAGAGGCCGGTGGATCTCTGTGAGTTCGAGGCCAGCCTGGGCTACCAAGTGAGTCCCAGGAAAGGCGCAAAACTACACAGAGAAACCCTGTCTCGAAAAACCAAAAAAAAAAAATAATAATAATAATAATAATAATTAGAACATTCCCACCTCCTCCAGGGGAAGGTGAGGGGGGTCAGAGGGGGGAGAACAAGGGAATCCGTGGCTGATATGTAGAACTGAATTGTATTGCAAAATAAAAATAAAAAATTAAAAACATATGTATCTTTGTAAAACAAAAGGTCCATTATTATAATCTAAAAGTAGCAGCCGTTCTATATAGCACTACTCTAAGATATTAAAATTTAGAAATAAACATATCAACATCTAAAAAAAATAATAATTAGAACGGCTCCACCATCCCTCTTCCCCTCCCTCCCTTAATTTTTTTTCCTTTCTTTTCTTTCTAACTTGCTACTTTCCC